TGCTGGGCCATAAATCTGCGTATGAACCACCTGGCCATGCTGGCCCATAAATCTGCGTATGAACCACCTGGCCATGCTGGGCCATAAATCTGCGTATGAACCACCTGGCCATGCTGGGCCATAAATCTACGTATGACCCACCTGGCCATGCTGGGCCATAAATCTGCGTATGAACCACCTGGCCATGCTGGGCCATAAATCTGTGTATGAACCACTGGCCATGCTGGGCCATAAATCTGCGTATGAACCACTGGCCTTGCTGGGCCATAAATCTGCGTATGAACCACCTGGCCATGCTGGGCCATAAATCTGCGTATGAAAACCACTCATCTGAGATACCGAGGTAATTTATAAGTCACATTTGAATTTTGATACTGATAACGAAGGTTGTTAATTATATAACAGATTTCACTAATTGAGAAATATACGTTTAAGCTTTTATTTATTAAATAATGAAGCCAATGATTTATCACGTGTAGTATAACAATGAAACATTCCAAACTACTATCATACCTGGCCTGGAAGATGTTGTCCTAACATGGCTGCCTTTAGGTTCTTTCTAAGAATTCCACACTGTCCAGCTGAAAACATTTATCCGTTAGAAAACATTAACTCATATCACACTGTTTCAACAAATATTTAAGTAATCCAAAAGAGTTATTATACAGATATTTTTCGCACTCTGCGAGACAATGAATGTATAATTGTAAGTTTAATTCATTTGTGAAGAGCTTTTCTGTACATACTGGTTGCATTTTACTATTGATATTCAGAAGGAAAATGTAAACTTCGAATTTAATCACAATCCAAAAACGTGTATCATTAGAGGCCTCAACCACTTTTATGTCATCATATAAACATACTTAAAAATAACAGTATTTGTGTTGATGTATCTTTTTGTCATTGTTAATTTTTTCTTATAAATCAAAATATATTTTACGTCATATTTTCTATATGTATGTATATATATATATAATTATATATATACACACATTTTTTTTTCTCTGAGGTTCATATACAGAGTGCAAAGTATGTTATATTAAAATGATTTTGAATACACAAATCATCACGTCGCGAGACAACCACAGCCAATACAAAGTCGAGGTGGAATAGGATATATTAGAACTATATTTTGACGTTGTCTGGCTTAACGTAGGTAAAGTGATGCCACTGAATATCGATTGCTTTTGGGAACAGCATGAAACAATCCTTTCCGATGAAAAATATGCATACATTCAAATCACAAAGATATGTTCAGATTAGGGATTTAGAAATTTCCATGTAGAGATGTCTCTCATATAAATGGCACAAAAGAATATGGATCCACCTAGATTACCAATATCATCTAGTAAGAGACTGAAACAAGCTTTACCCAAACAAGATATGGTAATAAGAGTGTAGCATCTTGAAACAGGCGAAAATCCATGAATACAAAGGTCAGTGACAAAAACCGTCTACATGACCCAGGCAACAGCGTGCAACATAGTCAGTATGGATCTCCGTGTGAAAACGAGGCCAACGGATAGGGGTTCACCAAGATAAGGCTCCCAATCGTACCTCCCGTTCAACCGTCATATACCCCAATTAGCTGGAGATTCAAATGAATATTCATACTTTTCCATACGAAGATATACTACGTGATCTTGGAAGCTGCCGTCCTCGTACACTAAATGTGATTATGGAAAGCGGACAGGAAGAAGTAGGGTGCTTTGGACATAGCAGCTTTCCGGCGGAGCCATTTTTAATAGAAACTACGCTGTAGGACTATTATCTAGATGCACTGTCGTCAGACAGAACATGACCGGACAACATTGATCGTAGCTACGTGGTAAGTTAAAAAATTCGCTTTAACGTAGCGTACTCAACCTCTGTACTTCAATCACTAGACAAACAGGCACTTGAATATTCTGATCGTATATTCTACAATCATTTATTTTATGCTTAATTACCTTTCATATTTCATATAATTCTGTTGTTTTTTTCGGTCGAACGAAAATCATTTCGCTACTACAGATTCCACTTAGGCCAATAAAAATAACTGGCGAATACAAAGTAAATTTCATTTCAGGTCCAACAAGTTGTGAAATTCTTAAAATGAACTCATGTCAATCCTTATTCAACCCTTGCAAGGTTAAAATTATCCGGTAATTAGCAATCTCAATATATTAAAGATCCAGGCAGTTGGAAATGTCTTAGTTTGAACATAAGTCAATCCTTACTCAACCTTTGCGAGGTTAAAATCATCCGGTAATTAGCAATCTCAATATATTAAAGATCCAGGCAGTTGGGAATTTTTTAGTCTGAACTTAAGTCGATCCTTACTCAACCCTTGTGAGGTTAAAATAATTCAATAATTAATAATCCCAATATATTAAAGATCCAAGCAGTTGGGAATATCTTAGTCTGAACTTAAAATAATCCTTACTCAACCCTTGCGAGGTTAAAATTATTCGATAAATTAGCAAGAGCGAATATTGATTAAAAGTCCAGCTAGTTGTAAAAAAGTTAATGATGCATTAAATATCCTATAAATCAATTAACTATGAAAAATATTAAGATATTGGCATATTGTCCTATATTTTCATACAAACTTATTCATTTATCAACTTACCAATAGCAGCAGCTGTTTTTGATGTCGGGACGTTAGTACAGTCCCCAATACCAAATATATTAGAATACTTTACATGTTGTAGGGTATTTTTATTTACATCAAGGTAACCCGTAGAATCCACTAGAGGGCTACTTTGTAATTCTTCTGGAGTACTCATTGGTGGTGTGACATGAAGCATCTCGTACTAAGAAAAACTTAAAGATTAGAAACATAACCTGAACAAGGAAAACGATTATTTTAATACAAAACAGTTATAACACTAAACGATCTAATATAGCTCTAGGGCAGCAACGCGCAAAATAACGTTAAAGAGCCGGGGCTCATTGACAAAACAAAAGGGTACTTAATCAAGCATCGTAAGGCAAGGGAGAGTGTTGGGAGAGACTAAGGTACACACATGGTTAAAAAAAAACGATAAGAAGGAAACAGATCTCATGTATTCCTATTCAATTTGCTCCCCAGTGGCACAGCGGTATGTCTATGGACTTACAACGCTAAAATCAGGGTTTCGATACCCGTGGTGGGAAGAGCACAGATAGACCATTGTGTAGTTTGTGCTTAATTCGAAACAAACCTATTCAATTGGTTTTATAAACATTTTTAAAATATAAAACTAAAGAGTAAATTCTTGCGTATTGACATTTAACAGTATAGCATAGTTATTTTTAACTGTGGAAACCTACAAGTCCCTGTATTACATGCACATTAAAACTGATTTTTTTTTACTAATAACTCACAGCAAGAAAAGTGTGGAATCAGACGTATCTTTTAGTAGTTGTTGACAACTTTTATGACCGAGAAAAAGTGAGCTTTTGAGGGCATAAGGGCAGGAGCCAGAACCCATCCAACCATCTCTCTGTAACCCCACTGCTCTTGGTATTAATTTATTGGTAGCAAGCTGGCTACCAGCGAAGAACACAGGATCATTAAGGGCTCTAAATACTAACAATTTGGTTCTGTTTAACTTGAGCAGGAACTGGTCAGGCAATAAGAACAAGTGGTAATGTGCCTAGGACAACAAATGAAGACTACAACGCGAATGTTTCAACCTAGTTTAAACAAAGATATTGCAGCATACTAAACTTGACGTAGAGAGAAAGCAGCCATATTTGAAATGCGATGACTAGGCGCTAGCAGATTCTCTCCTATTATATTTCTGTCTCAACATCAAACTTAAAAAACAAGAAGAAATAGGAAACTTCTGATGGCAAGCACGCCAAAGAAGACTTTATTGTCCTTTGTTTCGGATGAGCGGTGGGTAAGTGGTAAGTTTACGGACTTACCACACAAAAATAGGGAGTTCGATTCCCCACGGTGGACAGAGTGCAGGTAGCCCATTGTGTAGCTTTCACTAAGAAAAAAACACCAACAACTGCACAAGGTCTATCTGCGCTAACCGTCATTTTATTCTCAACTGATAGATTAGAGAAAAGGCAGCTTATCAACTGCACCCACCATCAACTCTTGGGCTACTCTATTCAAATAGTAGGATTTGACCCTCCATCTTATAACGTACTTATCATGAATCTACGGATTCACAGTCTGACACGCCAATTACTAGGTCACGCCTAGCCTACAAGACTAGTAAATACCATTTCAGAATTCAAGATGAGAATTACACCGACAAAATAGAAGAAAAGTGCAGGTAAGACGGGTATGAAGATATCTCCAACAGATTAGGCCCCCCAGTAGCACAGCGGTATGTTTTACGGACTTACAACGCTAGAATCCGGGTTTCGATACCCGTGGTGGGCAGAGCACAGATAGTCCATCGTGTAGCTTTGTGCTTAACTTAAAAAACAAAAAAAAACAAACAAACCAACAGATTAGGAAATTTATCACTAAATGAAAATGTGGAGTAACCAAACCAAAGAACTTGATACACTACTCCCGTGAGCTATGGAAAATTATAAATTGGATATGGTCAAATTACCTCTGAAATAATAAAAGCAACACAAGATTGACGTTATATTATATATAAGAAATACTAACAGCCTCGTTTCGCATGCTACTTAAACTACGAGAAAGTTTTCAGCTCTGTAATCTACAGTAAATTTTGGTTAATATTCCTTAACATAGGGTTTCAATCCCAAATCATCAAACTCTACAGGAAACTACTGACAGAGCAGCAGAAGAGTTGCCTAACTGGCTCAAAATCAACAAACGTAAAAATGCATTTGATAGTCTCAAATAACCAATTTGAATAATCATTAGTTAGAAATTACTGTAAAAAATGGATTAAGTCTTCAGATACTGATGTTCATAACGTAGTTAAACAAGGTTGTTGGAACTATGACCAAAAGCTTACTAGTTATAAAAAGGAGAAAAAAAAAGAAAATTAAAGAAAAAAAAGTCCATTTTATGTCCTAATATACAGTTAAGCCTTTTCTAGTCTTACATAACTGTTTAACTATAACTACTATAAATATTCATTTTGTTAAAGGTATAGCTTACAGTGCAAAGAATCCATATAGTTACTTCTTTTTAACAAGTTGCTATTTAGAGTTATCGTTGAATGTCTTGAATAAAATTAAACATGACTTATGATCTTATTTCAACTATACAATACATAGCTCCGAGTACACCTCATCTTAATACATAATTAATTATTGTTAATATTGAAACTTATGATAAATTAAATCAGAAACGAATTCATCTATTAGTATGTGATACTAATGTTTAATTTAAACATTCTTATGGTGAAAAAGAAATGATTTATAACATATTTGATAATGCTGTAGACGCTATATTCTTGATAACAAGGTCCATGTGAGGCACGTATACTTAAAAATTTGAGTTTTAACAAGAATGACACTTTATGCTCACGAGGGCATCAGGTCATAAACCCCATGGATTCGGTTACAGCAGTTACTCTGTTTGAACTACTCACCGAGGGAAGGAAGTCTGTCAACAGCAACTGTAGCCATAAGGGCTTTGTCTGGCTCTCTTAACCGAATAATGAAATTGATTGTTACTTTTATAACGCACCCACATATAAAAGTGCGAAGAGTGTTCACGGGCATCACAATATGCCTTGAACTTCAGACTACCCACTCGGCCACGCCCAGCCCGGTAAGTATATTTGTCTCACATGGACAGTTGTATTACAAACAGTAAAACTGAAAAACGTTACGTAGTTTTCAAAAGTTGCAGAACATTATTTAGGCCCTAGTTAAAAGACTGTAGACGACAAAGTAAACCATTACTGGATAGGTCACAGTTTTGGGCGGTTCCTTGTCACTTGCTACTTTCTCAAACGTTGCTTCTTTTCTAAGTGAGTCAACTTCGATGAGGTTGTGTTGAAAGTTTACAGTAACATCCCTGTTCTTTGCCACCTTTAGCAGTCTGTCAGCATACTTTGGGGCGCTGAACATCACATTTAAAGGCGTATTATAGATGAAGTTAGCTTTGCCCCTTTTGCCAGCCTAAAAATAATGTTTCAACTTGTCATTTCAAGAAAACAATACTTTCTATGTGAAGTATACCTTTTATGCAAATAAAATGAGAGATAAAAGAACATTAAACTGAATGCAAAATAATATTTTAAAACTATTTTCACATGGCCTCGTGTTTTTACATAACAAACAAGATAATATGGTAAAAATATTCACAAAAACATGTTTGTTCTTCTTCGTTTCGGTACAGTTTAGCTGAGAAGAAAAAAACTGTTTGCTAATCATGAGAGCTAAAAGATATTGGAAATATTTTGATAATGACGTAGATATATTTCCAAATTGTAAAAATACTGAGATGTCTGCTCGGAGAAACACATATTCCCAATAAACACTGGGATTGTTAGATAAGTGTACACCAAATTCCATGCTACAGTTTTGAGTCTTTGTTATAGGTATGAATACTTTTTTTCTACTTTTAAACGCTAATTTTTTTTATTGCAAAAAGAAAATTTACTACTGTAACTTACCTCTCTCATGTAAGCATCAGTAAGATACATGGCTTTCTGGGGGGCTCCAGCGCATTTAATTGGTGTGTTGGGTAATGTAAAAACTGCATTCCCTTCTTTGAAATCTTTCATGGCTTGGGTTGTCTTGGTAACAGTGTGTGGTGAATAATTGGAACAAACACCAGGTGTTTCAAAAGCTGTCGGTAAGCCTTTAATCTCAGCAAATTGAACAAAATACAGAAATAAAAGATAAATGCACATATATAAGATAAAACTTAAATTATCGGCACAATGTAAAAATAAACCTCAAGTATAATTTTCAAATAGTTACAACATATTTCCAAACCCCCGGCGTTTAACAGGTCACTGTCGCTTCAAGTTTTATTTTATTTTCATAAGGAATGTAGGCATTTACATTTTTATAAGTATAATTGATGTTCTGTTGTGTTGCCGAATATAAGAAAAAAATACTGAAATAACTTTAATGTTGAATTACATTGATGGGAAATCGTGTTACGTTAGTGCTAATGTACTCCAGTGGCTTAACAGTAAGCGTCTGTGCTTATAATGATAAAATTCGGGGTTTGATTCCCGCGGCATACACATAGAGCTAATAATCCATAGTGCACCAGCAGCAAATCTACTTTACTCCTTGTATATAACTTATTTTTCAATATATCGTATAAAATTATTATTTTTAGTGTTTTACACAGAAATATCCTTTTTAGTGTTATCTTATGAAAATATTAACTTTATTGTTTTGTTTGCTTGAAGCTAAGCACAAAACTACACAATGGGCTATCTGTGTTCCGCCCACCCCGCGTATGTAAACCCGGATTCTAGCATTGTAAGTCCGCAGACATACCGCTGTGCTACTGGGGCCTTTAATGTTTTAGTAATACTTTATGAAGCTGTTACCTTTATTGTCCTGGAAATATTTTTTACCATCCTATAAATTATTGTATCTGGTGTGGTATCTGGTTTATCTTGTTATGAAGTAGCTGATATAATACGATATTATTTTAGTTACCTTGTAAAAGTCTAGTTTGATTCCCATTGCAACTATCATATACTCATATGAAATCTGAAAAACGAAAAGATAAAGACAAAGTTAATTACTAACAAACAGTATACAGTTTCTTTGTCAGTTTATTCAAAATAATTTAAAATAAAATGTAAATGTATTAAAACTTTGAGCATAAGAAAGGCTAATCTTCTATAAACAACTACACATAATTTAACGAAATATACATTAATACGACAATTTCGAAGTATTAATTAATCACTTTTATTGGTTTAGTGAAAACTAGGTATTACTGAGCAGTTGAGAAAACGAATTATTAGATTTGAAAATACAATGAATGACGATGACGGCATCTTGAATGACTTAAAATACTAATGAACAAATAAATAAAAACGAATTATTAGATTTGAAAATACAATGAATAGTGATCACAGCATCTTGAATGACTTAAAATACTAATGAACGAATAAATAAATACGAATTGCTAGATTTAAAAATACGATGAATGACGATCACGGCATCTTGAATGACTTAAAATACTAATGAACAAATAAATAAATACGAATTGTTAGATTTGAAAATACGATGAATGACGATCACGGCATCTTGAACGACTTAATATACAAATGATCAAAAAAAGTATCGATTAGGGATTCTCACTCGCTGTCGTTATAGGAATTAGGAGATTAGGTTTGATTTGTTTTGAATTTCGCGCAAAACTACACGAGGGCTATCAGCGCTAGCCGTTGTCTAATTTAGCAGTGAAAGACTAGAGGGAAGACAGCTAGACATCACCACCCACCGCCAACTCTTGGGCTATTCTTTTACCAACGAATAGTGGGGTTGAATAGTGGCTGAAAGGGCGAGCATGTTTGGTGTGACAGAGATTCGAACCCGCGACCCTCAGATTGCGAGCCAAGCGCCATGCCGGGCCAAGAAATTAGGAGTTTGAATCTAAAGTTATTATAAAACATTTTTAAAATGAACTGTATTTAGCTTAATTATTATTTAAATCAGTGAAGAAACTGATAATTGTAATGATACGTTGGTTAAAATGGAAACTAAGCCACTGGAACCTAATTATAATGTCCATGTATACAAAACCGAGAAAGGTAAAGGAATGAGTGTGTTTGATTAACAAAATTTAAACCCTAAACTTCTGGTTAATCTACCTGAGAGTCAAACAAACTCAGAAGCTAACGCTTCACTTTAATTTAACTCTACAAACAAAGCAGGCGTTCACTAAAATAAAAACATTTATTTTGCTTGTTTGTTTGTTTTTTGAATTTTCGCGCAAAGCTACACGAGGGCTATCTGCGCTAGCCGTCCCTAATGTAGCAGTGTAAGACTAGAGGGAAGGCAGCTAGTCATCACCACCCACCGCCAACTCTTGGGATACTCGTTTACCAACGAATAGTGGGATTGACCGTCACTTTATAACGCCCCCATGGCTGAAAGGGCGTGCATGTTTGGTGTGATAGGGATTCAAACCCGCGACCCTCAGATTGCGAGTTGAGTGCCTTAACCACCTGGCCATGCCGGGCCCCAACTTTTATATTTGTTTGTAATTAAGCACAAAGCTACACAATGGGCTATCTGTGCTCTGCCCACCACGAGTATCGAAACCCGGATTCTAGCGTTGCAAGTCCGCAGACATACAGCTGTGCCACTGGAGGGCACTTTATTTTGCTCATGACATCTACAGTATGAAAATATTATTTTCTCTAGCGGACTCATACATTAATCCTATTTTAGGTATGCACAAACTCATAGGCTACAGGTTACTTTAATGATCTCAGTGAAATTATTTCTGGCCAAAGACAACATATATTATTAAAAAACACTGCACAATAGCCACATCACTTGAAATTCTTTTGGGCAGGATTAGAGTAAATTAATCTATGATAATTTTTTTCCCCTTTTTATTAGCTATATTTTTGTGCGCCAGCAATACCATGCGTGGAGCGCAGCGCGCGTATACCCGATTCGATTTTATTACTCATCAGGATCTCTACAAGCCTACTCTCAAATTGGAATTATTTCACGTAGGATTAGAGTACATTAACCTGTGAGACCCTGGGCTTGGTCAAGTATATTAATCGAAATGGTTTTGCTCTCCTGGATCCAAAACTGTAATTAGATCTCAAATCGGTGAAGATTTTGTTGTACTTAAAAAACTCAGAGCCGTTCTGTGAGCCTCTATGCCGCGGCTAAAAACCAACTAATAAAACCTGCACTTGGTTGATCAAATTACCATAGTAATATGACGATAGCGATACTATTATTTAGTCTAGTAATTTATTTTGCATGTACTTGAGCTTTTAAAGCGTGTTACTTTGTAGAGCTACCTTAAAGTTAGTGTCATTCTAACACTCTCGGTTAATTTTGTAACATGTAATTTTGAAGCTATTTTTATTCCAAGTAAATGTATATCTCTCGTTTTCATAATTCGTACCTTTACAGTAGTTCTGGATTAAAGCTACGTATATTTCTATGCTTGCTGGATTTCTAAGCTCCTCCCACAATTTCTGACAAAACTGTAGGCTCTTGCCACCACCACCACCCCTCTCTCCACAAAATATACAAGAAAATAAATCGAAAGACACGTGAAAATATCCTGAAAAAAGAGGGGAATCAAAGGATTTAGGAGCTCCCACTCTGGACTGAACCGGTTTACTTGAAAAATTGTTTTTATGTGTATGGAGCCGCTCAAAACAACAATTTGTCAAAATAAATTCAGACTTTTGCAATTTTCAAACTTCAGATGGGAGTCAAATGACTTGGTGAGCACTTAGGAATGGATTCGGGTTGGGTGTATCCTAACGGTTAGCGTGCCTGAAATGAGTCAAAGGATTCATGTTCTGCATCCCTTTGCTGATGCAAAATACGTACCTTGGAACCGTGTGTACGCTGTAAGAGAGACAGTCAAATTCCGCCATTCGGCCATATAAGACAAGCCCAAGAGTTACCGATGGGTGTTGTTGACTAGCTGTTTTTCCTCTAGTCTATCAGCTCAAAATTAGACCGAAAATTAGACCTTTGTGTAGTTTTTCATAACAAATACTGAAACAAACGTAAATTGATCCACAGATTGACATTAATATGTAAGAAATCTTTCAAAAGAAGTATTTACGATTATATTTTCAAACCTTCCATAGCAAGCCCCTAGTGGGATGTCAAGAAGTTTTCGGAGTCCCTAGGATTGAGTGCACAGATTTACTTTAAAAATGAAAATAATATGTAAATATTCCCTTTAATGCGTTTTTTCATTCAGATCTTCTGGTACAGTTTATGATGAAAGAATAATTTTTTATGAAAGACATCAAAAACACTACTAACTTCTCCATAACGACCTTAATCCCAACTAACTTGGGCTTTCTGCTGGCTACTAACTTCTCCATAACGACCTTAATCCCAACTAACTTGGGCTTTCTG